CTGATTATCTTAATTTAGTTAAGATAAAGTTTCATGTAAATATTAACAGAATTCTCTGGTATTATCTTAATTCTATGCATTTCCTCTTTATCCCTCCTTTATCTTTCAGTTCTATTTCTTGTTGTTAAACTTATAGTATTCAGATCTATCTAGTCTAGGAGACCTTGATTAAGAAACTTAACATCATCTGTATAGTATAGATTGAAATAGTCAATTTTTCACTGTATAAAACTCTTGAATTTTAATTCCAAAACAGAATTTAATTCTATTTGCACTCAGTAAAGTAGAATTTAATTTAAAGCTGTTACTTGCACCATATTCTACTTTTCCACTCTTAATACTCTTAAGTTTCTATTCTAATTAGTTCTATTCTATTTAATAACTGTTAACTTCAAAGTGTTACTCGCTTCACTTCAAAGAAGCGATCGCTTCGCTTCTCACTTCGTCGCTTCAGCATTTTTTAGGCCATCGCCTCGCCTCGCTTTTTGCCTTTAACAAGACTGATGTCAAAGAGAAGGGAAATCATATTCCAAAACAAGACACAAGTCACAAGGGCTTTACAATTCTTATGTTTCTCATCTCATTTTTCCATGCTATCTAGGAAATATCTTTCTTTCTCATAAAAGAAGATTATATTTATTACAGAAATGAGGTGTTATACTCTTATTCAAATATGCAGTTAGTATATTCCTGGAAAAAAATTTTGGAACCTCAAACCAGAAATGAATCTGGAAAAGCTAACAAAAGAATGCATGCAGGAAGAGAATGCATCATGCATGCATATGAGTTACCATATTAGTTACCACAAAAATTGCATGCAGGAATCTAGTTTGGTGGACCTCAGACCACCATGGGATCATTCAAGAATGCATGCATCTCCACTAGAAAAATATGATGTTGACACTTGTTCCATAGGGTATAAAAGTTCTCAAGCACGGAGGATAAGTGCAATAGACACATGGATATGAAAAAATAATAAAATAATTAAATGTTTTTACCTCCAGAATAGTGTAAATGGGCACTGTCGTCTCTCCATCAATAACAAGACTTTTGAGGAGAGAACTATGACGGCGGCCATAAGCAAGTAATAAATGCTCTGATGTTGGTGAAAACTGAAAATTAGGGAAAAGAAAAGAAAGAAAGATAAGCATACAGCTGTAGTTTGATTTAGTTTACTATAGTAAACATGCATCTTTTTCATGTGCTTGGACAGACTGGTGTGCAAAATCATTCAGCATAAATATTGATGTTTTGTATGCACATTGCAGCCCAATTAAGAGTAAATCAGATTTTATTCTTTGATAATTGGTCTTGATCCTAAAGAGAGTGTCATATAAGCAATGATCAAAATTTTTAAAACAAGAAACAATTCTAGAAGCCAATAGGTAATTAAGAAATTGATTGAAAAGGAAGAGTGTCCTGAGAAGGAAAAGGGATCTGGCATAATATTATAATGTCTTACACAAGAGAATTGGCAGTTTCCCATACAAATTGTTTTTTTTCTTTTCTGTTTTTGAAATGGGCATGCAGATATTAATGAAAATAAAAGGCAGCTAACACCAAATATCTAGAAAGGAGACGGGTACCTGAATAGAGGTTAAACAATGAGCAGCTCTTATTGCCCGGGATGCAAGCACCAAACCAAATCTAAAAATCAAAAGAAGCAGAGCATCAGAGATGAAGAATAATAATAATATCCACTCCCCCCCGCTCCTTTTTATGTATCCCTTTTGATAATGTGCAAATCAGGAACATAACAAAATATGAGAAATCATACTATTGCTAGAAATTTTAAAAAGAGGTCCTCTACCCCCTCTCTTGGAAACATTAATGTTTATATTTTGGGGGTGACAAAAGGCTAATATAGGATAATAAAATGACTAGTACTTTAATTTATATAACGGACACTCATTTCAGGATGTTGAGTTGCAGTCATAAGAAATGAGATGGATAAATAACATCAAAACTAAAATGGCATGGTTATGAAACATAGACTTATGGTAAGTTAGAGATTTACGTTGCCTCCTCAAGGGAATATATACGAAGCTCATACATAACTCGGTGTGCTGAAATAGGGTGTCGTGTAGGGGATGTTGCTGCTCCATTTATGTCATGATTCTGATGGCCTTGTAGACCAGGATCAGTTTCCACATTAGGGAATACACAGGCAACACAGGCTGCCAAAAACCTCCCACATGGAGAAAAATGAGCACCCATCTCACTGCAATAGTGGAATTAGACAATGAACTAGAGTTGTATCAGTTTCAAGATCAGGAAGACCAAGCCAAACTTTTGCATTATGAAAGCTAGGTTTGGAAAAGAAAAGAATTTAATTTTCTTGCCAGAAAACTCAGAGTCAAGACAGCATAATCCATACCTACAAAGCACTGCATGCGGAATGATCAAGCGACATCTTTCTAGATCAAGTATAGAACATGGATCTTTTACATCATGAGACCAAATTCTTAGTTTCACTGTGCAAGGCAGCTCTGCAGCTGCTGCCAATGATGGGGCAACTTCAGATGGCACTCTAGTTATAGCAGGTTGGGGATCACTTCCATCATGGATGATGTTATTATAACCGGCACCTTCACCATATCGGCTTGAGGACACCATGCGAGAACGTGAAGAACGATGTCTGGAACTTGATCTTCCTGCAGCTCTCGATTGCCCCATACTGGTGGGGGCTACTGAAGAAGCTACTGGAGCTGAACTTCCTGTTTCACTGGCAGGAAGTGAATTCTCATAACCAACATTGTTAGGCAGATGCATAATTTGTTGGCCAGCTTGTGTCTGGCCAATCAACCATCCCTGCATAAATGGTAGCTCCCAAAAGATTGGGTCACCAAAGGAGAAAAACTGATTGCTTCTCTCTGCTGGCTGGACCTCCATAGATTCCATTGCAGAATGAGAAACTTCAGTTTGCATTTCATTTGATAAAGGAATACTTGCCATTTCTTCTTGTTGAGGAGAAGAGTTATTTGGCTCAATAGGAGACAAGAGAAGTTCATACTGCCCAGTTGGAGTTGAATAGGTCAGAAGCCGAACTGAAGAAGATTGATAGCTTCTGTTTGGCACATCATTTGAACTCCAATCAGCATCTATATGCTGCAAAGATGTTCTGGCATTTTCTCTAGCAACTGAAGGCCACATAAAGAAAGGTAAAGGCCCAATAGGCAATTCATTTGGCAGATTTGACTGACCACTGGCATGAGCATCTGTCAGATATACAGTGGGAGGAGGATACCGCAAATCACCCAGAGAAGTAGCAAGTGTCATTGATGAATCAGATGGCTCAAGATCACTGACCTACAATGAACATAATAATTCAATGAAAAGGTAGCCAATGCCAGCATGTAATCAATTTTACAGACCAAAACCTAACCTCAGCAGTCAAGAGAAACGGTGCTGCATGAGGGTGAAAATGTACTGCCCGAAGTGAACGGCGTGTCCTTAGTATAACGGTTGGTGAGGATGTCTCTCCTCTCCTGTTGTAGTGCCATATAAATAGCTGACATGAGAAGTTTTAAAGTCAGCTATGTTCAATAACAATCTGAAAAGAAATTGAACAATTCATGGGAAAACTCTTCCTCACCTTGTGCCCTGATGCTACAGCAAGGAGTTCCCCTTGGGCATGAAAAGCTATGGAAGCAATGGGACGGTCTGCATGGAAGAAAGAACATTAAGAAGTAACAAACAGCACAGAGATTAGACAGTTAAAATATCAGTAACAACACGACACACAGGGTAACCAGAGGAAGTCATTACAGAAATCATGTGATCCTATACACTCAGCAGTATTTGCATTCCACAAGCGAACTTCATGATCCAGACTTCCACTTGCAAGTATTTCTGAATACAATGGATGAAATCTAACCTGTAAAACAGTAAAAGTACCATCAGTACTTGAGACAGTTCCAGTACTTGGCATGCTATAAAAATATCAGTGGAACGAGATATGTTTGAAAAAGTAAGATCCAAATAATTAACTACAGCATGCTGTGATCAAACCAGGCTTACTAGCAATTCATCGAAATTACCAAAAAAGCACTCACTTTAGAATCATCTTGACCTTGAAATTTATACCATTCTCATAATTAACTGTTGATTTGCTTAGTAGGTTTACCGATTCGTTAGTAACACTAAAAAACCTCCATAAATTAAGAAGTATTCAAGTTTACCTGCCAACAAACTGATTTTTTTTTATATGTAGAGACTAGGGATTGAACCCTAGACTTGTGGCTAAGCGCACAAGTAACTCTACCACCAGACCACATGGCTGATGGTGCCAACAAACTGATACACCTATTGAAAACTCAACCAAGTGATTATCCCTACCATACATCTAATGCCATTCTATTGATGAGCAGGAAACAAATATCATTCAGTTACAATTTAGCCCCATACAAGCCATAGAAGTTATCCAGATTTCTCTTATGCTATGACTACATATTACTTAGAACATTTTAAGGAGTATGTTGTTGCAAGATTTAACTCTAAACATTTTCCAAAAGGATGAAGCAATGAACAGGCAGTAAATAAAAGTCAGAAAAAAGTAAAGAAGTATGTGGAGGAGAAAAGATTGGCTCACCACCCATGGTGTTCTACGATGACCACTCAAAACCTTTAAGCATCCTCCAGTTTGGCAATCGATAATCTTAACAGTATGATCTCCACTGGAGGCCAATGAACAAACAAATATAATTGAAGTTTAATAAGGAAGCATTTCTCAAATAATTATTTAACCAGACACTCCATATCAAAGAAATGCAATTGAGTGAACAACTCACTGTGTAGAAGCAATCCTTTTACCATCTGGGCTAAAGGCTGCTGCAATAGTTGACCTAGGAGGAGGCAAGAGGGAAGAGTACTTGGCTGACAGGTGTAGCATTGACTCTGCCTCTACCCTGAAGTAATAATTGAATTTGAAAATATAATCCAGAATCCTTGCAAGAAGAAATTATCTAAACTTTTCTATCAATAGTACATACAAACTGTGTAACTTATATTGGAAAAGACTGGCAAGTACCATGAGAGCAAATCACGTTTAGCATCTCTCGCCGCCTGACACCTTGGCTCAAAGGAATCAGAACGACCCTTTGAATCTTCACCCCATAACTTTCTCAATGAAAGTTTTGTTTGCGGGGAAACCTCTCTGTGTGCTAACAGTTGGAAGACATTTCTAGCAGCAGCAAAAACTTTAGTATAACAAACACTATTGAAATTCACATTATACAGATTTGAATCAAGACCAACATAAAATTTCAAACTTATAACATTGAATAAAATCAACATTCCAATTACAATGCAGTTAATGCCCCTTAGTGATAAGGCTTGTCACTTCAAGCCAAAACTCGGCATATAGTAGAGTTTAGAGTTTAGACAATGACTGATTGAACAACTCTTCTGGCAAAAATGCAGAAAATTACTAGATTCTTAACCTTTATGTGAACTCCGAAGCACTGTTTTATCTTGATTGATTGAAATTTCATGAGATGAAAACTAGAAGAGCTTAATGAATATTTGAAAGCAAAATCCTATACTGATTCAAAAATTAATCAAAAACCCCAGTCCTAAACAAAATTGTTAGCAAGTTATCAAATAGAACACCATAAAACACCACAAATCAAGCACTGGAACAAATCCATAAGCAAAAACTATACACTAAACTTAATTAAATCCAATTTTTTATTCAACTTGAGAAAAACAGGCAGCTAACATCCATCATAATCTCTAAAATTAAACCGAGATTAATCCAAATTCTCCCATTTTCACCGAAATCCAGATCTCAAACATCACAAAACTCCTCAAATCTTCCATAAATTCAAATCAAATTCGCCAAAACAAAGAAGCCAAGATTGGAAAATATCCCAAACCTGTGCCCGCACGACCTTGTTTGAGAACAACGTAGCGGATGCTGCTGCTGCTGCGGCGGCGAGCTTGATGTTGATGGCACATTCGCATCTTCGCTCCACAAGGAAGAAGCCGTCATTCTTCTCCACAGAAGCTATCATGCTTCAGGATTTCACAAGCATTTTGAAAAAACAAAAACTAGAACAACTATAAAAAACCTCCCCGAAAACAGATTAAAAAAAAAAAAATCAATTGGGGATTTCGATTTGGGTGTTAACGAATGCCTGCTAATTGATGAGTTAGATTGATGCAATTCAGTTAGGCGGATTCGTAAATTTTGGTATTGGTATGATGTGTTTGTTTCCCAGGAAACCTAGAGGGAGAGTGGAGGAGAAAATGAGAACACGGTTTGCGTTACGGGGTTGGACTCTCCACCGGCTACGTATTTCAATTATTTTCATTTTCATTTTCATTTCAATAATTAAAATTAATTATTAATTTTTCTAACATGTCTCTTATCATACGGCATTACTTAAAATTGTAATTAATATAATTTTTAATTTTTATATAATTTACATAAAAAATATAAGAATTATTTTTAATTTTGATGTTAATGTCAGTTATATAAATTTAGTTTGTTTAATTTATATATAATTTGTATTAAATAAATAAAAATTAAATTTTATTTTATTAATCCTTTCTCTCCTCTCTTTTTATCTCTTTTTATTTAGATAAATAATTAAAATTTTTAAAAAAAAATTCTCCTTTCCTCCCTTCTAATTTTTGGGAAAGCAAATAAAAAATTTTTATGCTTTCTCCTTCCCTCTATTTTCATCAATCTAAACATACTATTAATTAGAAAACCCTTAATTATTTTTCTTGTGGATCAGTTTTGGGCTTCTAATTTTAATGGTTACACACTGAGTTTGAGCCAGGCCCAACCATTGTTGACAAACCAAAATGATTTATTTATTATTATTATTAATTTTTTAAGTGATGTTCAGAATAGTGTTGACAAATGTAAAGATTGGTGGAGTAATATATATATATATATAATCTTATAAACTTCTGTGGAAGTAATTTTGATTGATTATATTTAATTGGTGGTGGAATAAGTAAATCAATATATATAAATCATGTCCGTTAAGACTTTTCAATCGAATTTTAATATATTGAAATTAAATTTTGTTATTTGTGATATAAATAAAATTATACATAAAGTACTCGATGAGAATTTGATTCAACCCAATGAATTTGAGCTTGATACATCAAGCTACTTATAGCTCGTTTGAAGTTTGAAGTGCTAGATTGGCAGTGAGAAGGGATAAAAATTTTGTCTAATATCATTGTATCTCATATTTAATAAAGTAAAAAAGATAGGATAATTGTTGTCTTATATTTTATTAAATGTAAAAAAATAAGATGATTGTTGTTGCAAATTTTATCCAATTATGTTTTCCTTTCATAAAATGTAACCCAACTCCTCTATTGGATTATGGAAGATAATATTTGATTTTATTTTTTCACCCTTATCTATCTATCTTTTACGACTCTCTACTCTTTTCTCCTTTTTTTTTTTTTTTACTTTTCCAATCCTTTTTTCAGTTCGAGTAGGCGCACATCAACAAAACTGTGACAACACATTGGAATCTATCTCTATGAGTAGCTGGATGGATAGCTTGTTCTTCCTTCCTTTCTCTTTCCTCTTGGTTTTTCTTCATTGCCCTCTCTTCCTCCTTCCCTTTCCTTTCGCAATTTCCATATGATCTAAAGGCATCAACAAGATCAATTGCAAGATTCAACAACATAGTCATTGACGACTTTGAGGCGATTCTCCGATTTATCTTGATCAAATCAATCATCCACTCTAGTTTTGTGTCTTGACCTTGAACATAGATCTTATGAAAGGTTTTGACTTAGTGTCATGGGATTTCATTTTTCAGATTCTGCTCTCACTTGGATTTCCTAGCTAATTTGTAAATTGGATCAGAGCTTGCATAACTACTCCAATGTTTTTAGTTGTGTTTAATGGCAACTTATGTAAATATTTTCTTGGAAGAAAGGGTGTTAGGCAAGGAGACCCATTATCACCATATATTTTTGTGGTTTGCATGGAGGTTCTCTCTAAAATGTTGAATAGGGTAGCTGAGGAAAAGAAGATTGCATATCATCCTAAATGCAAGAAGGTACATCTTACACATCTTTGTTTTGCTGATGACCTGATTATATTCAATAATGGTAGTCTCTCTTCTCTTGAGGTTGTTGATGATGTCTTGAAGAAATTTTATGAGATATCTGGTTTACGAGTCAATTACGCTAAGTCAGAGCTTTTTGGTACTAGTCTTTCTACAAATCAACTTCAGCAGCTTATTGACAAGTTTGGGTTCAAAATTGGAGAGCTACCAGTCAGATACTTAGGTGTGCCATTGATCATGGGTAAATTGACTCAAAAAGATCTTAGACCCTTGGTGTCTAAAATAACTGAAATGATGACTTCATGGGCAGTAAAACACCTCTCTGTTGCTGAAAGATTGCAGCTAATTTCCTCTGTCATTTAGCGGATAATTAATTTTTGGTATTCTGTTTTTATACTGCTTAAAGGAGTTATAAAAGAAGTGGAGAAAATATGTGGTGCCTTTTTGTGGAATAATGACACTCATAGTGCTAAAGGGGCCAAGGTAAAATGGGCTACTATTTGTACTCCTAAGCAGGAGGGTGACTTAGGACTAAAAAACTTGGTGCATTGGAATCAAACTTGCATCTTCAGATTTATCTTGTTATTGTTCTTTAAAGCAAGTTCAGTTTGGGTAGCGTGGGTCCATGAATATTTGCTCATGGGCAATAGTTTTTGGACTGTTAAAATACCTATTGATGCTTCTTAGGGATGGAGAAAATTTTTCAATTAAGACAACTAGCTAGGAGGCTTATTCAACATGTACCAGGTGATGGCCAAGATATATATATTTCGCATGACAACTGGCATCCTTTTGGCCCTTTATTACAAGTGTATGGTAGCTTTATTATTCAAGATGCAGGGCTACCTTCCCAAGCAAAATTGGCTAGAGTAATAAATGGTGGCTTTTGGCAACGGCCTCATGTTAGATCTCCCCAACTAGTACAAATTCAAATGCATTTGTTTGATTTCTACCCAAAGGAAAGAGAGAAAGATTCAGTAGTATAGTTACATTCCTCTTTTAATTTGGTTCTTTTAGAACTGGGCAAACTTGGCACTGGTTAAGAAGCAAGCAAGACAGGAAAATATGATATAAACTAGTTTGGTTCTCTTAGGCTATTCCTAAGCACAATTTCATAAGTTGGCTAGCTATTCTCAATAAAATGAGCACAAGGGCTCGGCAAAGGAAATGGACTCCTAATATCCCTGATACATGCATTCTATGCAACAACAATTCTAAGATGAATGAGCACCTATTTTTTAAATGCTCTTATGCAAGAAGAGTATAGCAGCAACTCAGCAGCATGCTTGCCATCCCTTTCACTGATTCTCTTGGAGGGGCTTGCTAAGTTGGATGGGGAAAAAGGTTAGAAGAAAATCCTTATATTGTATTTTAATCAAGTTAGCATGGAATGTTACAGTTTACCATATCTGGATGGAGAGGAACAAGAGAATTCACCAAAAAATTTTAAGAATTACAATGCTATTGTACATGAAATCAAATCTGATGTCAGGTGTAAGATGCTGGGTTTTGCTCAGCCAAGATCCTCCCATTTGCCTATGGCAATTGTGTGTCAATGGGGGCTTGAAATAGTGGTGCAAGACTAAATTTTGTAGGGTAGTTGCATATATTTGTGTATTTTGATATTGTTTGTTGGTATTTATTCTTTGTAGCAATTTGCTGCTCTATTGTATTGTTATTTTGGATAAATAAAATTTACATTTTATCCAAAAAAAAATTCATTTAAGGACGAGAATTAGACTTGTTGCCTTGTTGGGTTACGTGAAAGTAAAGAAAAAGGTTGATGACAATTAAATATGCTTTTGTTATAGTTATGTGCAATTAATTAATAATTAATTATAATTTTTTTATAAAAGTAATTGATGATAATTATCTCCAGTAATTTCATTGGTAAATGTTATAATGATTAATTCTAAAACAAATTAAAAGAAAATTTTATTAAGTTTAATTATAATTTAAGGGCATTTTTACTTATATAAATAAATATTTATATCTAATTTCATTTTAATCCAATAGTTAACCAAACATTTCATTAGATTTAATACAAGACATCTTATCTAATTATATTCAATTTAATTCAATCATAGATTCCAAACATGCTCGTATGAGATACATTATGTCAAGGTTTTTAAAATTGGACCGGATTGGCCGGTTGAATCGGTCAAACCGGTACCTGATGATGAAAACGGTTCGATTTACATAAAAAAACCATTTGATGTAAAAACCGATAAAAACCGATCAAAAATCGGTAAAAATTGATAAAATCGATAAAAACCAATGAAAATCGATAAAAACCGATGAAACCGGTGAAACCGATGAAACCACTGGTTCAATTTCTTATGCAATCTTCTTTCAGTTTTTTCCAATTTCACCTTTCCCATTCCATTCTTATACCCATTTTAACCTTTAATTTTAACAAAATTACAAAATTATCAAATACTAAATTAAAAAATCCATGCTTGCAGCTTGCTCCTCTCATCAAATGTTCCTTGCTGTTTGGACCGATCGGTTCATCAATTAAACCGGTTAAATCAAGAACTGAACTTGAAAACAGTTCAATGATCGGTCCGGTTTTAAAAACCTTGCATTATGTAGTTCAATTAAAATTAAAATATAAAAATTGTGTTATTTTATATAGTACACTCTTATTAAATTAAATTAAAATTTACAAATAATTCATAAGTTATTTTGAGCTTTTTTTAAATTAGTCAACAACTCAATCTCACATTTATTTATTTATTTATTATCTTAAATAATTTAATAAAAATAATTTTTTATCTTTTAATGAATTTTATTCATATATTATATGATTTAAATTTAAAATTTTTTATTTTTAATAAAAATTTATTATTAAATTATTGAAATTGTCGATGACATATTTAAAAATGTAAATATGAAAAATATGTAATAAATAATTACGAGTATATGGGAGTACCTTTTTGAAGGTAAAATTATCCTTAGACAAACAAATTATTTGATTTGAACAAGGGAACAAATAATTGCAACCGAAATAGTTAGGATCTTCGAATCTTCAGATCCCATGCGGCCTGGGCCCCCTTGCCTTTTGCAAATCTTCCAAGGTACTACGACACGCAGGACCCATCAGCCTAATAGATCCAAGATTTAGTGGGCCAACCACCTTGGCACCAAGAAAAATAATTTTTGTATAATTTTTTTTTTTATAATTTGATATGTTATTAAAATAATTAATTTTT